GACCTCTGTGGGACAACTCTTCTTCTTGTGACATTCTTTCTTCAGTTAAGCTGAAATATTTATCCTTATAACTTCCAAGATAATTTGTACTTCTTGGTTCTAGTTTTACAGAGTAACATTCAACAGTTCAAATCAGTACATTTCAAGTCATAGAAATTTGTTACTGAGAAAGGGGTCTTACAACTCAGCTTCCTGTTTTTGGCAATTCAGTGTGATAAATAAGAGCTGGTGCCTATCACATGGGTGCTGTGCTCCAGCACTGAAGGCAGCTATTGTTTCTCCCCCTGATCTCCGGAAGTGGAAGGGCATGCAACTCAAATGGACATGAATGGGAAGTAAAAACTTTTTAACTCCTTAATATTCAAAAATAAGGGTGGTTTTATTTTATTTGAAGTACTTGCTAGAGTAAACAATGGCTGCCGTCATTGGCCTATAAACCATTTAAATGGCCAAGCAGACTGCGGATCTATAAAGATGAAGATGGAAAAACAATAAATAATAATGATAAATATTTCTAATTTTTATAAGCTCCTGTGTGTTTAACAACCAGTAAGTGAGAAACATAGTTGCACATACCGGGCTAGAAAAATGGTGCAATGTAGCGTGCTAATGCCTTTGTGTGAGCTGCACCTGATGCTCCTGTGGTCACCGCAGCCCGGCCCGTGGGAGGATGCACAAGTGTCTTTGTCTTCCCAGGTAAATGCAGACCACGCTCTGTTCATTGAGTTACATAATTGACTAACAGAATTTAAAATGAAAACAAGCAAAGCAGCAGCCCCAGCCCTGGAGATGGAAGCCTGGGGTTCAAGTCTTGACCCTGTTACTGGCTTATTAGTGTGACTTTGGGGAAGTCTGTTTTTACTCCTCAGAATTTCAGCTTCCCTCATATTTAAAACTTTTCTTAAGCCTTGCCTGTGTCATAGAATTGTCAGAATTAAATGTGATAATGTGTATGGATTCTAATCTTCACTTCCTGTAAGCCATGTAACTTTCCAAAAATTCTTTAAACTTGTCTGTGCCTGTTTCTTCATCTTTAAAATGGGATAATACTAGTACCTTCTTCAGGGTTTTTGTGAGAAGAAAATGAGTTAATTCCCATCAAATACACAGAGCAGAGTCTGACGGTTAATACCTAACAGAAATAACTATTTTTTATGAGCTTTTGAGGGCTCTATGACTTAGTATACTTTATTCTCCTGTATTTTAATCTACACACTGTATTTTCCTGCTCTTTCTACTGGAATAGCATTTTAAGAATTTAAATAACTGTAACACCCTATTTACCAACCAATTCCAGTAACAAAATTGGCATGTTTTATCTTTCTGATCACTTTTACAAGATGTGACTTAGTTGTCAGAGAAGCTGAATCATGATACTGAAAACTTATTCCCAAATGCCTTTCTTCTTCAGAGCTTAGGCCAAATTTGTTTATTCTAGAAAGTGCTTTTAACCGGAAGTGTGATTTTTGAAAAACTTAAAGTGGGAATCAGGATACGACCCTGCCTTCTCTGTTATTGTTAGGATCTCAATATCTTGTCTTAATTGTCCAGAGCTTTGCTTGCATTGAATGCCACGGAAGACTTTTAAAATGTTATCTTTGATTTTGAAGTATGCTAATTCATGTAATTTTGTGACCCATTTAAACTTTGAGAGCTAATGAAATGTTGATCAAGAATCCTACTTTCATAATAGACTCATTCATAATAATCCTAGTGGTTTATTTCACAGAAGTGGTTTCCAGATAAAAATACTGATCATGACTTTCCCTAAAGGGGTAAAATAAAATCGTGGGAAATGCTTGGAATTTAACTAGTAATTAACTTATAAAGAACCATTCTTTAAAAATCATAACTCCCCTAAGCTGTTATAACAAAGGACCTTGTAAGTTCAGAATTATTTTATATATTTACTTTTTGTAAAGTGAAATGACTGTTGTCCAGTATCTTCAAGTCTGTCACTGAACTAAAATGATATGTTTAGATGGAGGAAACTTTGAGCCCCAAGCTGGCTTTTCAACCTCAGGTCCAATTTGAATTAACACTGATGCTGCCGATTTTAAACTAGTTACCTGGATATAAGCGTGGCTATTTGTGGCCTGATATTACAGACTTTCATTATTGAAGTCTGATGAAAGGTATATTGGAAAGTTTGAGTATATATATATATCTAGGAAATGGGCATGTGGACATTTCCTGTTTTTCTTTTATCAATTGAATTGGGCCTGTTAAATATTTTCTGTTTGATCTGTCTTACCTAGAGCTAAAAATATTTCTTTATTCCTAATTGTGTTTTTAATATTTCTTGAACTCTAAATCCTGTTTCTAATTTTTTGCTCACATACTACATTACATTATAGTTCTAAATAGCATGATTAGGTTAACTGTTTTGAAATGAAGAAATTACTTTTAGCCATGTAAAACGCACAAGTTGATTTATCTACTAGTTAATTTCTTTCCCAGAGTTTTTGCATTAAGGAATGTCAGGTTTCTATCTGGGGAGGTGGTGAGTAGTCTCTGTGAGTGGAAGGTGCTTTTAAGGGGCCATGTGGCTGGGTGAAGAGAAAGTGATTTGGAAACCCCAGGTCTATGGTGCTACTGGGGAAGGTTCTCTACTTCTTTGAGCATCAGTTTTCTCATTTGTCAGTAGACATACTGCCTGTCTGGAAAGGTTGTAATCAGATGCCACACAATCCTGGATACACAATAGATATTCAGCAAATGGTCACTGTGATGTTTTGTATTAGAAATTTGTTGCATTTCTGTGTAATATTTCAAAGCAATGATGAACATTTTGGGGTTGCTGTTTTTTGAATGCATTAACAGGCTTATAATTTCCTAAGATTACTTAAGACTTTGAGAACAACAAAAGGAATACTTGATTTATGAATAAACTAATCATTGCATAAATTCTTACCTCTCAATTCCTCGGTTTACTGTGTTAGAGTTATGGGCATTTCTCCATTTCTCCAATCTGTGACACCCCTGTGCATTTAGCTTTTAAAAAAGTTAGCAGAGGAACTGAAAAGGATATAAAGTGCTGGCAGGAAAGTTTCTTCATTCACCATTTCATATTTCATTCCTTAATTTGTTTCTGATTATTTGAGCATCTTAGGGTTGTTCATAAAAGTGCCCTAAAGGACACAAGTTGTATTTTCAAGTCGGCCCCTTTTTGAGGGAAAAGGAGAGGATGTAATAAGGTGCATGTTAACGGGCTGCACCTTCCCCTGCCGTCTCATTTTTCTGGTTCATCAGTGACTTGGACCCTGTTAGTGTGTCAGTGTTCCCAGGAAGGAAGGTTGTGTTTTAATGCAAGTGGAACTATATGCTGCCTGGGGACCAATATTTGAAACATCACTTCTTTTAAAATGAGACATAAAATTGCAGAGTAAGCCTACTTGGTGTTTAAAAAAAAAATCTAACATTTTGTTTAATTTGTTTCTCCAGGTGGCATTTTTCTGAAGTTGCTCCTTGAGATTTCTGAGCATTCCTGCCTCTAGAACAGGTAAGTAAATGAAATATAGGATACCCTAATTGTCAGTAGTTCTTTGGAAACATTTTCCAGGTGGGAAGCAACTTACTTCTTGAAAGTTGTGCAGTGTTTCATACTTTTGGGCTCTGAATGGTAAACACTAGCTTTGTTTTTGTTTTTGTTTTTGGATGGAAACACCACTTGGGTGAGCACACACGAATGTTGCAAAGGACTCTGTAGAGTTTCATAAATGGCATTAAGTTTAACGCTATAATTTCCATGCTTCAGTTCTGATATGCTTTGTTCTGTTGTTATTCATAAACAAGTTTAAGAGCTCTTTGTAATGGGCATAGCTGACTTTAAGCTGTCTTTCCTTTTGCACATCTCACCATTGGACCATTTCACCACTGGTTGCTATTTCTCTGGCAGATTCAAATGACCCAGTTTTGGTACTCAGTGATAGCTCAGGTAGAGGAACTGCTTAGATAAAAGTTGAAAAAACAGTTGACTAATCAGTGATTTATGATGAACTCTATAGATTTTAGTTTATGAAGGTCACTTTTGGGAAATGTTAGTAACAACAATAAGGGTTGAGTAATCTATACTGTGCAGTCAAGAAAATCAAGGCAGTAGAAAGTTTAATATTGTCCCCAAAGGCTTTGAACCAACTCTGCTTCTCAAAATGGAGAGGCCTATTCAACCTGGTCATCTAGAGGCCTTGTTAGGAACTTGGGGGTGCAGCTCCAGTCGAGGGAGCCATATGTGGTGTGGATTTGGGACTGACCAATGCCCCATCAGGAGGGTCTGCCATGTGCATAGGATTCACGGAGTATTTTCATGGACACCATCTTATTCATGGAGAGGTGATATTTCAGTCTACAGTTTCTGGGGAAGGAAAAATTGCTCTTATGTCATGAATGAACTATTGATTTTTCAAATGTTACCTGAATTGTTCTAGCAAGTACTACTGCCTGGGTTAGGTTTGGAGGTTGGTTCTCTCTCTCTCTTATTTTTTTAGTGGAAACTGTAAACACTTATGAGTTATAAAATTATTAGAGCAATCCTTCTCATGGGAACATCAGGGCTGACCTAAGACAGGTAGATGTCCTGAGAAGGTTATTTGTTGGCATCTTATCAAACTGACAATGTTTAAATTTCTACTCCATTTTTATTTAGTAGGGGTAGGATAAACTGATTTTCTATTACTAAAGACCATGAATAAAAAATATATACCTTTTCCTTATGTTAAAAATAAGGGATTTATCACACATGATTTTCTGAACCAGGTGTTCATAAACCTGTTTAAGATTTGGCTAATAATAACAGTCTGCCATGGTTCAGATCCAGATTTTCAGATGCCTGTCAGCCAGGTGACACGAGGGTTGGCAGTGTGGCCTGCTTCTCCTTACACAGTTCTCAGAGGGAAGAAACTCTCAGTGGCGACAGGTCTGTGCTGGTGAAGAGCATGTTTATTTACACCTAACAGGCACTGTCTGCTTGAGTGGGAATAGCACTGATCGTCATTTTGCCCAATGTATAAGGAGTTAAGTGGCTCCATATTTCTGCTGTAGTCCAGTGATGATTTAGTCCCTCACTGTGGGTTGTCACCCTGGATCACTGCCAGGCTGGCCTGTGTAACCCAGCTCTGGGGAAAAGCCAATTCCATTCTGCTAGTACCTTCAGGAGCTATGTCTTGTCCACCCTTGAAATCCCCTTCTTAGAAGATTCATCCAGATAAAACCAGCCTTCTCAGTGTCTTCTTTTTTAATTGTGAATTCATCCCATGCAAGCACAATAAAACTTTACCAAGTCAGATAGACATAAGAATGGCCATTCTGAATAATGGTATCTAACTTGGGAAGAAATCCAATCCTACTTTCTGTGTATTTCTGTTGTGTACAGTCACTCCCATGATATCAGCCTGGAGGTTTGTCTTGAGCAGAGTTAGTCATAGCTGTTTGGGAGATCCTTGTTGTCAGGTGGTCCTCTGCTGAGTTCCTGCCCCTGCCGGCCACAGACCTGGGCCACGATCCCCACTATGGTGTGAGTTGGCTGTGTGACCAAAGGCGTGTTTCTTTACCTGATGGAACTCCCACCTTTTCATGTGTGGGTGCCCCTACTCCCAAAGTGGTTTGGAGGACTGAATGAGGCAAAGATGGCAGTGTGTGCAGTGCATAGTGAACAGGTACCCCTCTGGCTCCTGGACCCTTGGACCTTGGAAGGAGCCCTGGGCGTGGAGTGGCGCGGCTGGCCCTCCGGGTGCCCGTGGTGCCTCACTGGTAGAGTGGCAAGCCGACACCTGTTCCGTTCTGCCCTGCCTACTCTGTGAGAACGGTGACAAGCCTCAGCACAGTGTGAATTTAGGGTGTGCGGTTGGTGTCAGGGGTTTCTATTGGGCAGACTTATAAAAAAAAATCTAGTCATACTTTCTGGGCTTGAATCCCAGCTCTGTACCTTATAATTAGGTGTATGACTTTGAACAAGTTTTTAACACCCTCTGGTGCTCAGCTGTCTCACAGGATTGCTGTGAGGTTAACTGATGGACTGTGTATAGGGAGGGGCATGTGGAACCAGCACCTAGTGACTCAATAAATAAGCACATAAACTCCCCAGGACACAAGTTGGGAGGCAGAGGATCTGACTCAAAAAAATATCCACAGTTTTAAAATCTTTCAGGTTTGAACTTCAGCCATGTGAGTTGCCTTGTATATCATGCTATGTTAGTTTAGAAGAGGGAAGCTCACCTTTTTCTGAGTAAACTGAGAGTGGCTGTTTCCTGCAACGTGAGATTCCCTAGTCAGGAGAGCTGAGTGTTGGGAGTTCCTCTTAGCTTTTCTTCATGAGTGAAGAGATCTTTCTCCAACTGGGGGAGTCAACCAAGCGGGCATAGTGGAAGCTCCAGACCTGTCCTGTCCGTGATGGTCACCACTTTCCACATATGGCTACTGAGTATTTGAAATACAACTAGTATAGCTGAGGCACTGAATTTCTTAATTTTATTTAATTTTAGTTTATTTAAAATTGAGAACCGATAGTTAACTCAGTTATTGGAAAACTTTTAAGTATGTTTAGGACAACTTGGGTAGGCAGATCTACTTTTTCAACTGTAAAGTTTCAAGTGAAAATCAGATCAAATAATATGTTGGATGAAAATGTGCCTGAACTGAGATGTGGGGAAAGTGCAAAATGCACAGCAGGTTTTGAAGTCTTAGTATGAGACAAAGAGATATAAAATATTTTTAATGCTTTTTACATCAATTATATGTTGAAGTGATAGTATTTTTGGATATTTTGAGTTAAACATATTATTAAAATCCATCTTTTCTAATGTTTCTACTAAGCATATTAAATTATGTACATGGTTCATAAAATATTTGCACAAGACAGTGCTGCTCTAGAAGATCCTTGAAAGAACTGGATAATTTCTAGTTTATGAAGTAAAACATAGTTTTTTTCCAATAGATTACAAAGGTTATGAAAGTAGTTTTCTTCTTTTTAAGGTTTAGTTCACAGTCTGTAGAGGGATATTTTTAAATATTCAAAATTGGAAAGAAAAAGAAAAGGCACAGAGTAGATGTGTTGCTTGAACTTCATGTGATGCTGTCTGAAGCTCGGTTTGGATATATTTATTTTACTGGGGTCCTTTTCCTCAGCTTTCTTATGAAACGTACCAAGGGAGGCACTCCTGGCCACCCACTAGGATTTGAACCCAAACACGATTTTTCATCTTAATGTTCTGCTTCTTTGATGAATGTTGACTTTGACATTTGATACAGGCATCATTCCCAGGGTCACATTTTACCATACCCAGGAGATCAGTTTAGGAACTTCATCCAGGATAAAATGACTTTTAATTACCCATAGTGAATTAACATTCTCCTCTTACTGTAGTTCCAGAAACACAGATATATTCCCAGGGGAACAATTGTTGACTAGAGGCTTTGTCATCACCAGTGTATGTATGAAACATGAGAAGAACTGCAGTGAAGGTTATCAGTGTAATTGTTTTACATCTGTGCCCTGGGGGGCACTTCAGTGAATTCTAGGAGGTAGAGGAAGAGTATTTGACTCAGAATCAGACTGGTCTGGGTTTGAGTCCTGCTGGGCACAGGAGGTGGTGATGGTGAGGTTTCCTAACCTCTGACTCTGTTTCTGTGTAGGTGGTGCCAGCAAACACCCAAACCACTTTCCTTGTCAAAATTCTTCCATTTTAAGTACTTGATAAAAGAATGTGACACCACATTCCTGTGTGTGATAACATGGCACACACATCGTATCCTCATATTTTTTCAGGCTGAATAAATGAATGGGAGGGTTTATTTTCCAGTAATGTAAGCTTTTTCCAGGAATTAAGCAGGATTGATATTTCTGTATTAAATAGAATCCATTATCAAATTTCATGAAGAATCTTTAGCTATAGAGAGATGGCTTTTCCTTGCAGAGAGTTTAACTATTAGGACATTGAGGTTTTTAAATTCCAGGGTCAGAGTGTGGAATTCATTTTCACCAGCTGCTTGGAAGAAGTTAACAGGAGAGGGGAAACAGTAAGAGAGGGTATAACAGCTTTTACCTTTCCTGAGGGTAAATTGGACCAAGTCTCTCTGGAAAGGAAAATAATAAAGTAGAAATAAGATGATGGTTTTCAAGATTTTAAAGAAAGCAAATCTAAGTAATTAAATATATTAAAGACTTGAAGTAAAAGTAGTTCTTTTTGTGCTTTTGTTGCATGCATGTTATCTTTTTTTGACAGGGAGTTCTGGGCACCCAGGTGCCTGCCCAATAGGCAAGTCCTGAGGATTCTCCCCTGCAGGGCACTCTTTCTGTGAAAACTTGCTTCCCTGAATAGACTGTAAACTTCTGAGAGCTGGTTTGAGTCTTCTGTTAAATCCTCAGTGCCCAGTACAAAGTCTGACGCACAGTAGGTGTTCAGTGAATATTGGTTGAATGGATGGAAGATAAATGATAGTTACACAGTAGAGCTGGTTCGGTAACCTTCTCTCATGAGAATTCTGATTCAGGCCCATGTGCTGAAC